TGTTAGCTGTTCGCGCATTCTTTACCTGCACTGATTAAAATTGTCCACAACGACAGACTGAAACGGATATGAGACATATTTTAATCAGTATATTGACCAATCTTTCAGTTACTCTTCTCAGTACTCGCTATTAAAAATTGTGGAAATTAGAAAACTTGTTTACTGGTTTTGTTTCTATGCCTTTTTGCATAGAACGCCAAACATATTATGATCAAGATTATGTCCAGAAACGTATATGCACTTATTTATGTAGGTGTGTCTTTGCATGTGTTTGTTTGTTGGATGATTCAACTCAGGAACTACTTGGACGCCGAAATTTCCGATGGAGCCAGTCGACTAGGTGTGAGACCAAAACCGTAAAATCGATTTTCATGGGCATTCCGTGTCTTCTACATTAGGGTGCATGATCTTGTGGAAGTGGACAGGAAAAAAACCATGCGGCATATTTCGTAAACTGGATGAATTAAAAAAAAGCAAGCGGAATTTTTGTATCGACGCCTTCACCAGACAAGGGATCCGCACAAAAGCCTTTTAGAAAACGCATAACCGTGTCAGCTTCTTTTTATACACATCGTTATTTGCTAATTTATCACCAATGACTCACGGTTCACGACAGCAGTGGCTTCCACACGAACCGGAACTGGGAAGCGCAGTTCAAATTTGGCACTCTCGAAGTGTTCTAGAGCAACCCAAAAGTCTATCGCTCTCTTGTCTGACTGTAGTTCTTGTTTGCTATCCAATTTAGAAACCAATTTTGGTGACTATAATGCTGTGCTGTTCAGCAGGACTGCTATTCCTATGTTTATTTTTTAAATACGTCGGATTCAGCATCTTTACTAGCGTGCCATCCGAACAGACCCGTAAGAGGAAAATGAGATAGACGAGCGCTGGCTGCGCTCATGTGAATACCTTTTTGTTTTAGAGCGTATCAAATTTTGCAGTGAACGATGAAATCTTCAGTGAAGCAGCCGTTAAAGGAAGCCTAGAAACCATGAAGAAAATTATTTTGGTGAGTGTACTTTACTCAACGTGGCAGACGACACAAAGTAGCGAGTAAAACGATTCTCGTTCTGAAGGTCGAGGGTTCGATTCTGCCAGCAGACTCATTTGTTTCTTAACAGTTTGTTCATTTCTATCAGTGGGTAAATTGATGTCAACGCATGCAATGAGGTTAAAGCCGCCAAAAGCTTGCTTTTAAGTAACGCTCGACGAGTTGAGTCATTTTCAGCTTTGTTTCCAGCAGAAGGTTGCTGATGACACGTGCTATCGCTCAAGCTGTCTTCAGTTACTTCATTTTTAATAATTGATAAATTACAGGGGAGTTCTAATTTTTGATTCTGACGTTTGGAAAAAAAACCGTTTTCTTATATTCACGATCAGAATGTCACAAATTAATGAGAGAGTCATGCATTTCTTGAAGCGATGAAAAATATCAAAGAAAAAGCGAATAATGGACAATACCCATAGTAAGCAATTAAGGCACTGATCGGATGAGAACAACGGATATCCTCGGGCCTAGAAATCTACAGGGCGTACTTCATTTGCTTCTCCAGACAATAGCACTTTTTTCAGCAAAGCCAAAATATCGCTGTTAGAAACTGTTTTAGAACGAAACTGGAGGCAGTTTAACCTTCTAGTATGCTCAAACGAGCAGATGCTGGCCTGTGATTAGTATGAATTAATATACTGTGAATATGCGAACTTGTTTCTTTGCACTAAAAGTGCAATATTATCTTTCGCAAACATGTATGTCTCATGTGCTTACTCGATAAACTTGAAAGTGCAAAATCGTTGGTAGCTTCTCTTCACTACCGTTCCACTCTTAGCCGACATCTCTTTCCACTTCGCGGTCTTAAGAAGTGCTGCTTTACTATGCATTATTCATCTAGAATGTGACATGAAGTATTTCGCCGTCACTGAAACGCATGTCTACACGTCAACATTATTGAGACACTTTCAACATTATTGAGACACAGAGATTTTTGTACATGACACACTGTTTTTGTAAATATGCAACACTACAATCTTCTTGATCTTATTTTAGTTTTCTTTTCCTTTTTTAAGAACTTACTGGTTACCGCATTCCGGATGACCGCCGTTCCACGGACGGGCTATTCATAGTCACTTGAAGGGCAGGTACTGCCCTTGCTGGTCTTCACCCTTCACTGAATGGGCCGTTGTTTCTTCTCCTTAATTACTAGCCTTTTCCTTTTGCCTACAGGGCCTTTACGGCGCGTATTGCCTTCCACTTTTAATTGCCGCCTGCTACTGGATGTTGTAGAAAGCAGTCAAAAAACAGGATTTTGGAAAAAAACTTGAAGTGGTTTTTCTCAGATAAAATGTTTTTTAGAACTCCTCACTCCAAATGCGTAAAGGCGCCGCTGCGGCGACAGTATTTGTTAAAGACGATGAACGCATGTTTCACGTGAAGGATGATCCAGGTTATTCCCGGGAACTTTCCGCGGCTCGCGATGGTAAAAATTACTAATTTTTAAACAAAATTTTTGGTGCGAGTTGGAAAAAAAGGAAGGCTTCGCAACTGTCCTTGATGAACGGCGTTCAGTACTAAGACAGCTCCATAATTTGTCCAGCTGTTTTTATCTTAACTGATGATACTGATGACAAAAATTTTTAAAACTGTCTGACTTTTTCTTAAGTATCCTATGGAAGATCAAAATTGGCCAGTTATGAGGATTCTAAAGAAGAAAGCGCAATTGTGTTTGAAAAACCACTTGCTACGACATCCCACAGCGATGCGTTCAATGTAGTTGGCCTAGTTCATGATGCGATAACTCTGGCACGAATACTGAAACGTTAGTTTGTTTTCTTCTTCAACTTTAAAGCTATTCAGCAGCTGAAAAGTTATTGTTGCATTTGACTAAGCTTGAACCAACAGTGGGTGAAACCGTGAAAAAATCGACAAGTTCAGTGCGGACAGCAGTTTTATTCCTGCTGTCGTCTACCAGCATAAAAAAAATCAGATTTTTAGATTGCAATGCTTCCGTCATGCTACTTTTTCCGGCATTCAGGCAGGCAAGAAAATTGAAATTTTTTGAGAATACTCCCTGATTTTGTAGAGCGCGAAAAATTTAATGACGGCTTTAAGGCACGCTAGCACCCCGCATAGCAATAGGACTAACTTCAGGTCTCGCCGGCAAGGCCGATGTGTGTCACAACTGGAATAATATTGCGCTAATTTAGAGAACAAGGAGAAGGCGATATTATGCTTGGTGCTGAGCATCCTAGCAGGCCTAACGTTGCTGCTTATCGCTTGTACTGTATC